ACATATATAAAGTTTACCGTAGTTATATTTGTCGACTGGCGCCTCGTATGTGTAATTGTTCGTACAAACAGACATACAGCATCGAGACGCCTGATTTACTAATGTATCTAGATTTAGCACTTGTACAATGTAAAGTATAATCCTAGGAATATGAAAGAATGACATTTTACTTCCTATTGTGGGACAGCAAAGAAAGTATGCAGATAAATATATGTAAGTTTTATTTTGTATGCAATTTCTTAATACTACATGGATGCGATATAAGTATCATTAAAACAGATCTAATAGATAACTAAATAACGAGACAATATTATTTTTGTTAGGGATATAAACTATTTCAAAGATGTAACGAGGTGCAAGTCAATAATTTAAAAATGTAGTTTTTATATTAAAAAAAACATTTTCTTTAGATTATAAGCACATTTTAAACATATTTTAAGAATTTTTTATATATATATATATATATATATATATATATATATATATATATATATATATATATATATATATATTGCAATAGCCGATACCGTGCCTACCGTGACATTCCACTAAGAGCTAAGTGGGTAACGTTTTGATAACGGCTAGTCAAGGCTAAACAAATGTGGACTAAATTCAATTTATCACGTGACTTGTTAAGTACACACAGAAAGTATATTAAAAATTATTGTTTAACATTAGACATACAAGTAATATTATTGTATATTGTACTGTATTTAAAAGTTATTGATTTATGAATGGTTCTTATCATTTCCAAAACTACTAATTATTTTTAAGGAAATTTAGAGAAATGGGAAAATTTACATTAAAATTTGAGGTATTATGTTCAAAATTAAACGACTACATAAAGGATCTAAGGTGCAAGTGAACTTAAGTTGCACCTAAAAGTTCTTACATAGGTAATTTACCTTAAAATTCTATATTATTCAATAAAATACAGAGTCATTATAATATTAATTAAACTTTGTAAATATTACTAGCACTTACTCGTTCTAAGTGTTCGATGTCTCGTATATAAGTTCTTGGTAAAATGACATCAGTTTAAATTATCATATGTGACATTAATCCTTTAAAAACTTATTTCTTCGAACGCTATTGCCACGTAACTTCATTTTATAATCAATATAGATCTAAAACAATATCCATGTGTAATATCTATTTTCCTTAAAGAGTCATAACTCAATATTTTTAAATAGTAAGATAAGGACTCTGTTCGTGTAATGTAAATTAATTCAAACAGATGTCTTAGACATTTTTTATAGAATATTCTCCATTTATTTCATAGGTTTTAGGATGTCTGAAAAGCAAGTAACGGTTATGTTACTAAATGCAATGCTAAACATAAGTTCCATTACCGAAATGTGTACATAAATAAATACTTTCTTACTTACTTTTTAGACCACAGTGAAAATTTAAAAGTTTTTATAAAGTAAGTAAACAAAACAAATTCTCTTATAATAATTAAATACAGTTAACGGATTTTTTTATTCATATTTACGTAAAATATACAAAAATTACGTTTTACGATCTTGACCTAAAGCCGTATTCGAATTAATCACGCTCTTGCGTCATTAGCGGTGTGCTCCTTGTAACGTTTCCGTGTGTTTAAGTATTGTAAGCGTTAACAAAATTTGGGTACAATGTATCAGAATTGTGTTAGAGACCAAAAACAATATACCATATTCATATATATATTCTAATTCACTTAGAAAAATCAATATAACTATTGATATAAATTGTACTACAATATCCTTCTTATTTCTGCGATTTGGTTCTTTAAATTTTAAATCGTTGTACTTTTTTTTTGTTTTGAACAAATAATATAACAAAATTGATACCTAAAATTTAAAACAGTTGCAACGAGTTTTTATTAATTGTTCTTAATTTAATGTATTATTTTTTGCTCAAGTTAAACGTTGTTAGGTATTCGATAGCACTAAGACTTTTTTCGTCTATAAATTAAAAAATACTCAATTATAACCTTTGCTTGAAGTTTAGGAAATTATTTATAGCAGCTCATTAAAGGTCACAGGTCAAAGGAATTTAGTAAAGACGATGTCATTCAGACAGCTACTTTGACAATATTTAAGACAAAAATCGATCTGACAAAAATCTTCATTTGCGGGAATGTACTTGAAATTAATACAATTTTAGACCAGCTATTTCACATTAACTGAATACAAAAACCTACTGAATACTATTAAAATCAATCGTCTGGGCATCACATATCGTCTGTCCGTGATCACGGTTCCTGTTAAGTAGCCGAAACGTCGGGAGTATGTAGTTTATAGTCAATAATAAAAAATCGAGTAGAAAATCCGAAAATATGACTTTCATTTAAATGGGTACTCGAAAAAATCTTAGATTTCATTATGTCATTTATATCTTTCATTAATTCTTGTTCATAATTTCCCTCAAAATTAGGTTGATTTGGATCACTACAGTCGCAGATTTTTTTATTAAACTAATGTACAATTTAAAATTCAGGGGGGCTTTTCAAGGAAATTCTTTCCATTATTTTTTTCTTGTATTTTTTATTAAAATATATTAAGATATTGAGAATAGTTATTAAAAGAATACTCATATTGTAATATTTTCGTTTAAAACTATCATTTTAAATCTTGAATGTACTTATCTAAAGGTTCGTTAATTATAATTGCATATGTGTTCAGTTTTAAAAGATACAAATAAAATATTTGATTTAATGACTCTGAATGCTGAGAGTTACTTTCAGTATGTACCCAAATTATCCAATATAATATAAATCGAGAGCTCTAAATGAGGAAGGATCTAAATATAAACATGTCAACGACACCGGAAGTAGGAAGTATCAATTGAGTTGCAGTTATCGATCCGACTGTAGTTACACGGATTGTAGCTGAGTTTATATAAATGATCATTTACATTTAAAATTACCTTACGAATTTGATAATCGATTTTTTGTTTAGTATAAATCGTGTAACACAAACGAATAAGATGATGATCGAATCGATATAATCGGTATCCGTTTGTATGGATATGTGTGTTTGTTCATCTCATTGAGAATATTACATTAGACCACGACAGAGACAAGCAATAATGGTCCATGTGTGCAAATAATTTATTAGCGTTTCACATTATGAATAAAAAGCTTTTAAGACCGACATGTTATTGACATCATAATTTTTGTGTTTAGTTTACAACGTGGAAATTCATGAAAACCTTGTGTACAATCCTGTCGTGTGTACTACTTTGTACAATGTACAGGTTGATGTTTGTTGAAGGCTGCTTTATACTGTTGTATAATACTTTTAAAACCTTTCGATGTAAGTTTGTACACGCCCCCGCATAAGAAAGTTGGCGACAGTGACATTCTTAACTAAGCCATGTTTTCACGTAGACGAAATTCTTATTATACATTTTTTGTTATACATTTCAAGACCACACACAGGTTGTGTAATCATAAAACATTGTATATTGAAGGCCAATGAATAAACAGTGTATTTGATCTTGACAATATTAAGTGATACAGAATATTTTTTTTTTTTATCGTCTATAAAACTGCCCTAAGTATATAACATAGAGTTTATGAACTTAGTTGGTTTTTTTCAGTTAGGGATATTTTAAACATAGTCATAACTAATTCTGATTGATCTTCAAAATTACCGGAGACAATAGCAATAAAATAATGTACTTCTGCTTTAAAAATATTCTTAATATTTAAAACATTTCTTTATTTTAATTTTGTCCCAATTAGAAAACAAAACGCTTAAAAGATTCCATCCAAGTTATAATGAAAAATTATGAAGTTATAATATATTACTAGTTACTCCTGAACTTTTTCAGTTGAATTTCGAAATTGGTAAAGAATTAAATAGTGTAATTTACAATCAAAATAATATCTTTAATAATAATTATAATTTAAGAGTAATAATTAATCAATGACTGATATAAGTGTGATTTTTAATTTTGCTTTAAACTGTATTCTACCATACTATATTGTTGATTTATATCCTTTTGATAATTTGATTCCAACATGTTTATTTTGTTTTAATTATTTATTACAAGACAATGTTTTTTATTATTACAATATATATTATATTACATTTCATAATTCAATTTCCTTTTGATGAATAAAGAAATGAATGAATTACACACGTAAATAAAATACACTTCTTATTAATGACTTCTGTTATAACAATTAAATTAAAATCAAAGTAGTCGACTTTTTGTTTGTATACATATGTAGTATGTTTTTTTTATGAAACTGTCAAATGAGTATGTTATATAAGCGATTGATTATTAAAACGCTCATGTACATACTTATGTTGGAATGGCGGCTGAACACACCGATGGCTAGACATATATTTGCTGTTTGAATAATTGCGACTGTATAAACATCGGTTACAGGGTAAGAAATGATATTGTTTGTATGTGTGTAACACACGCTTACATATATGTTTATACATATGTATGTGTGTGTGAGATTTAAAATCTTTAATCACATATTAAGGAATATAGAGCTTATAACACAAAAATATCACTTCATAGCTCTGGTATAAAAGTATTCATTAATATTTATATTTAAAATACGAAGTACATTTTGAACCGTAGTTAAATCTGTTCTATTTGATCGCAAAAAGCAATTTATCTAAAATAAAACTTATTTATCGCGTGTCTAAGGATTTCTTCTACAAAATAAAAAGGATTGAAGTAGGTACGCGCATTGGCCCATTTTGATAAAGCCAGCCACAGATTACGTCCACTTAAGCACTCAGGTACGTCGAACATGTTGCGACCGTTTGTTTATTTTCTTTAAATTTTATAGATTAAGTATAAAAGAATTAGTAATTAAAAAAATCTCTCTACATATATAATTCGAATAAAAATATTGAGATATATTAAATGTGTAGAGTTAACATATGACAACCTCACGCACACTAATAAAAAAAGTTTAGCTTATAAGTTTATAATGAAGCGAGGTTTTTATCTCGTAGTCGTTGGCCGCCCGCCGAGCAGAGCGCATGTCGCCCACAACTCTGAAACCTCATAAGTACGTGCGTGAAACTCGACCATATGTGAAAAGTTAAACATAAAAAAGACCATCAAACTAAAATATTAACTCCCTCAAGTAAAACCGAACGCGTCCACATTCAAAGACGCCTTACATATAGTGTAAATGTGAAAAAGATCGCTTGCGCTCGTTTGGGAAAATATGAAAGTGATGTGAAACGTTGAGGTGTTTCTTTTTCAGTTTAAGATTTTTCATAGTTTATTTTTGTGACTACAAAGCCTATTGTTCGATATACCGCTTATTAAAGCGAGTAAATATGCTATTTTAGTGATTTTTTTTGTATCGAATGAAACGTGGATTCATTACGTAAAATTGGATTGTTCAGTTCTAATAAACGGGAAAGCGGCAGAGTAATTCAGTTAGATGAATGTTCCAAATAATATACAACGGGACAAAACATGACGGCAAAGTTCGGCTATGTAAGTACTGTATGGAATTTTGTAATTTTATTTTTACATCCTCATGAAAGAGATTTTTCATTTCCGTCCACTGTTATCGGAGGCGTTAATCTTATAGTAGTGAGATTTCTCATCATGAATGAAATAATATTTATAAACAATATTTTTGTTCTAACGCGTTTTAATTTTAATGTTTTGAAAATTAAATAAACACTCATGTTTGTAATAAAACATTTATATCGTTTAAGTACCGATACTCGGCGGTAAAGTGTTTTTGATCTAATTAGTTGTGAATGGAATATTTTATGAAGATTATTTATCCATTAAAAAGTAGTCGTAGTTATATTATAAATGTAAAATATAAGTTAATCTACGAAGCGCTCACAGGATGTCCGACCCTATCCTATTTCAAATAACCAATACGATTGCGGTTTATATGTGGGGAAGTGACAATAATACCAGGATACTTCATTCACTATTTGCTATCACACTTTCTTTTATCCGACTTCATTAAACATTATACAGTTATTTATATTTTTATGGATGTTGTGTCACATTAAATATGTTTAAACAAATATTTTCTTTGCACTGCAGGCTATAGAATAGTGAAATATTTTATTATTTATTATTACAGCAAACAATGCCAACTCAACTGTTTAATAAACGACAATATCGTCAAAGTCATAGTTGGACAACGAAAATTATGTTCGAGTCGGTGTCCTAACACAATAGAAACTATAAATATATATGTCAAAATTATATCCACCTTTTTCCATTTACTATTCCGTACCTGATCGTCTTCATCTGTCTTTAAGAAAGTATTGTCCATATATTGTATTATATACATACATAAGAGTAAATACTATTTTAGATATTCAATAATAAATCGTGATTGTTCACTATCGGGTGTATTTTAATTTGTAAATAAATATTAAGGTTATCAATAGTTGAAACATTTTTGTTTAATGTTATTTTCTATTTATTCATTTTAACATATTTAATACAAGTTTATATTTCATTCGTATATAACATAGACGTCTTTAGTATAATAATACGCGACGCTATTTAAATCCTGTCACATTATAATCATTTTTACATATATTGTCATAAATTGTATGATTATATTGAATTCAAGGTAATTTTTAGTCCCGGACAAGGTTGATTGATAAGAAAAATCATATAAATATGTATTACATATATGTATGAATATAGCATAGCTAGTTTAAATATCAGAGTATTCAGTATTTCATTCCTGGCAATGTTCACTTCTATTTTCTCTTGTAAATAAAGGGTTCTTGACTTGATGAGCACAATGGAGTGGCTTGCAGGCAATTAAATATTTGAACATACCGTACTTCTCTATATATCCGTTATTATTTCATAACATTATTTTTATTATAAAGATGTAGGTACTAATAATAAAATATGACATTATATAGTTGCATACATATTTATACGTTTGAAATAGTTTCTATGCTAATTAAGTATCGTTTCTTTATAATCGTATGATAAATGGTTCGAGATGAACAAAGTGCACATAACGCTTAAATTTATTAGTCGTTTTTGGATATGAAACGACTTAATATTATAGTCGAATTTTTATATTTAAAAACATTTTTGCATGTCATGTTAGTTTAATAAACTAAGCATTTGACTAAACTAGAATGTCATAATTATAATATCTGTGTGAAGTTGTAAATGTTGTGTCATAATAATAAATTACCCTTATTTCATAAATATTATATTTTCACGTAAATCTCATCGTAACTCATCGTACTTGTTTATATTATGTACATAACATATTTTAATCCCTTTTCACATATGTCTAGTAAAAAATGTATATCTTACATATCTAACTGTATTTTATAAAATTTTATATTATTAATATATTATTTTTTATTATTAATTAAAAAACATTACTACAGTTGGTTCTTCTCCTGAATTATATTTAATTACTGTATATTTAAAACTGTATTCATAAAACTTAAATTTGTTTCATTTAAGGAAGATTTGTTGTATTTAATTTGTATATACTTTTAACACAACGTTAATATTAAAGATTATATATGAACTAGATCATTCATAGTAAGAATATACATATAGCTTCTATTGTATTATCAAAATACTATTAACAAAGAATTCTGTCAATTTGTCAATTTACTACTCGAAACTTTGCATATAAATTTAGTTTACTACTGAGTTAACCTTGCTATACAAATTAATTCCATGTAAAGTTTTATCTGTAAGACGTACGTAGGTGAATAAATTATTGTGACTTAAAACTGTTCCTAGTGTCATTAATATTATTTCAGTGTCACTTATAATTTAATTGAAATACAAGTATAAGGTGTATAATATGTAGTGGATACATGTAAATATATACATACATGAAAATGTATAGGTGTATATGTATGTCTGTTATATTTGACTTAAATATTACTTCAAACGAGGATTTCTTAGATATTTTTACATTAGTTTATTTATTAATAAAAATGTAACTACTACATACATATTATTATTCTAAAATAAGTTATAAACATAGTCTTATATTTTAAAGATATTTTAATTAAACATAAAATATTAAAACTCTCTGCTTTAACATTTCATAAGATCGTGCAAAGGAAATATGTATTAAGTTAAAAGGGGCTAGCTGTATAATTATGAAAATCAATTAGAGCTACCCCTAACTAAATTAAATGGTACCTAGTCAGTTATATTCCGGGCTATGAAATTGCTTGGCAAATAAACTGTTGTTAGTGAATTTCAAAGTAAATTTTCACCCTCGTTTCGTCCTATCGCATTGTCCAATCAAAATTAAAACCTAATTTAATGGTATAGAGGTGAAATTCAAATATGTACTTTTTTCTTTATGTCGGCAGTGACGTAATACGTTTCAGAATTCCTAAGTCATTAGTGGTTTTCATATAATACCTTTTTAGAAGCACGTCTCGTGATTTAATAGAAGTCTGGCTGACCTTTTAAAGTACCGCATTGTAACTTTTTTATATTTAAAAAGTTAAACATATTTTGTTGAACGCGATACATAGTTTAAACAAATTTTAAACAAGAACATAACCTGATTTTGCTAGAAGATTTAAATGTAAGATCTGAATGTAAAAATATATCATATTATATTCATAGAAATGTTTTTCTATGACTAAAATAATTATATGACAAAAATTCTTATGACTTTTAGTTTATCGCGTTCATCTCGTACATAGTAAATGTCGACGTTTCGTTGGTTTGAAAGATCTTTTTTAAACTATCTATACATAATTTCTCATTTATATAATTTTTAATAATTTAATAATATGTAATAATTAGTTATAATTGTTGTCTTCAGGTTACCACAGCTTGCCGTCTCTGCGAAGATATTGTGCCTCCTGATGGTAAGTTTATTTATTGTGTTACATATATTTCTTCGTTTGATTAATTTAAATTATTAAGTTATTAAATTATCCTCTCACACGTCTCGGATGTAGCAAGATCTTAATAAAACAATTGACGTAATAAGTAAAAAGGTCTCTTAACCGGTATAAAAGGATTAGTAATTTCATTTGCAGGTATCATTTTATTCTCATTAGTCGTCTTATAGAAACACTGCGTGCTTATAATGTATGAACATAGTGTGTAGAAACGTTGTGCATTGAATTCTTTTACAATATTTATGTTAAATAATAATATCAAGTTGCTAAAGGTTGATTTGAGATATAAATATGTAAATATTAAATATGAGTATGTACATATGTATTATGTGTTACAATTATGATTTGTTTAAAAAAAATCTTTATATAAGGTATTATATATAAACGAAAGAGAGTAACTTAGTTCGTCTTATCTAATTTCTAAAAAGATTTCGATATAATTGAATAAATATTTACATAAAGTAGTCTAAAGTTCACATATAGTGGATACGCATATAAGTATAATGTTAATAAATGGAATACAGGTAGAGTTTAGTAATAGCTATCATTTGCAGTGATTATGCCTTCGCAGTCTCCACGCTTGATGAAGGTATACAAATAAGGCTGCTATCACACTATAAGATATCAAATAATATGTTTCTATATTCTTTTCAAGTGCGTGCTGAAATTTCTGAACTAACACGTACGATATGTGATAAATTCATTGTGTGATGAAACTAGATGTAGGTTACGTCATACAGACGTCAGTTTTATACTGTTAATGCTGAATAATCAGTACAAAGGTGTTGTTTAAACGTTTTGACGTACATTTTATTGCCTATACATCCAAGTGACCAATACTAGATAAGGAATTGGATTATGTTATACAAATAATACATTGACTTTTAATCGTTTGAAAATCTATTATGTTGTGTTGGATTTAATATTGATGCTTATTTGAGGTGCGCTTCGACTGGCTAAGAAATTAAATTCTATCAATTCATTAAAGTATTATATCAGTAGAATATTTTGATAGTAATTAAAAGTGATTATGTTAAAAATATTACCTAAAAATATTGTTAGATCTTAGTGAGAACGTAATAAAGTAACAATTTCAGTTGTTACATAGTTTGAAGTGTCGGCGTAAAGATACGAGTATTTGACTCAGATTTATCAACTTGCACTTTTCTCATATTTATATACCTATATTTTTTATATTACGTGTACAGCAAGCCTTATAAATAAAAACATTTATAAGCAAAACATTATATTGTAGCTAATGGTGAAGATGTTTAACTAGGTTTTTGAAAGCTTGAATTACGAGTATAAGAATAAATGCTTATATTTTATCAATTATAATGACATATTTTTACATTACATACAACATTTTATTTACAATTTATTGTGTGCATAGGACATAATTTAGTTTTTAAATAAAATTTAAATCTTACGAGAAAAATCTAATTAATGATAAGAAATCCTCGTGCAATTTAGTAGTAGTAGTATTTACTTTTTAATTTTTGTTTATTGAAAATAATCGGAGAGAGCAATCAAGGCACCGTTTTTTAAAGTTTTTATGCCTTAGAATAATAATATTAGGGATTTTCATGTAAAATATTAAACGTTACTTATATTCAAACTAAAAAAATAATGTAGCAATAACTTAGAGTTATCCTCAATCGTATAGGTAACTTTTGTTGAAATTATTATTTGTAACCTCTAAATATTTCTCGGTCTTCATGAAGGTTAGGTGTCTTAAACGATATTTGTTACTCAAACAATAATAACTTGTGTTTAGATTAAACTCAATGACATTACAATAGTTTACAAATTTTTTATTTTATTTGTCCTGGAGTTTTCCTATAACTTATAGAACCATGATCAATAATATTTATTAGGATTTGAATCCATTAATTTGTGATAATGAAATGATTAAAGTTACTAAATATATAAGCTATTTATTTACGGTCATAGTACTTTATTTCATTTATATACTTAAAAAAAACAACAACTATTTTGAAAGTAAGTTATTTTTGTTTTTAAAGTAAACGCTTACGTATTTAAACAATCAACAAAAATCCGAAGTGCAGAGGAAGGCATGATCTATCATTTAGCAAGATTTGATCTGTTTACCTATAACTATTGTTGAAGTACCGCGAACTTATCTACCGTGAGGTCGAATTGATCGACGATGTACAAGCAGTTTGTGTCAAATAATACACGCTATATTGATTTCTGTTACTTTAATATAAGGCCTGTAATTGCGTAACGCATTTTTTGTACATTGAGTGCAAAGGTCGCAAAATTATGTTTATTATTTGAACATGACTACTACGTTTTCATAACATATATTGTATAATGTAAGCAATACATTAACATTTTAACATTAAGTTATATTATCATTTGAAACAATTATAACGCTTATCATGCGTGTGTGTGGCCAGCCTAATCCTTGGTCGTCGTAGATAACGGGTGCAAGATTGCCGGACTTTACACGTTACAATACTCAAACCAAATAATTTTATTATATTCTCGTTTTATTTTTAATTAATTATTATCTGAACTGAAAGTTATAATAAAATGTCAATGGTCCAATGGGAAGATTTGTTCTTAGTGTGTAATACCATAAAAATATCTGACACACTTGCTCCAGATAGTTTATATACCTGATGCTGGAATTCAGCCGTCACTAATGCGTGCGGTCAATAGGCGATAAGCTCGGTACTAAAAGCACTGACCTCCAAATAGTACAAAGCAATAACTGACCTTATACCATCTTCAAACGGAGATGCAATCTCCGTCTAATAGATCACAGTGTTTATGAAGTCTGATTCACTGATGTTCCGACCTCCTTAATTAATTGCGAGACGAAATTAATAATTAATTAGACATGATACGCTACGTATGTTTTCAATTAGACATTTAGTTGTAATATTAATGATTGTTTTAATGATCCCAGTCCGTAGAGTACACGTATAAAGATCGTGTATTAAATAAACTCGTGATAAACTGCAGTTTATTAATATATATAATAATAATATCAAATTATCATAATTATTAATTTCATTTTCATCCGAGAAAACGAGCTTCGCTTTTAAATATGACATGTTTTGATCTGTTAACGATTATTGCTTAGGTTTATTTCATACTAAAATATTCAGTTAATTAATGTGTCAAAATAAAAGTTTCTTGTTAACATTCCGTGTAGGTATCGTCTTTCATATTAATGAAAGGTCAACAATATGACATTTGTATATCGTAAACAATTTTGTAGGCAACGTGAGTGCTTTATTAAGTATAATAGAACTGTTCAACGATTCGATTGTAAATATAGAGCATTTTTTGTACAACAAACAAAGCCTTAAAAGGTAAAATTTTGATATAGCTTACAAGAGTTACCATGAAATGCAATATGGCTGAACAGCGACCGCGTCGCGGTAGCCTATGCTTTCCCACCTGAATATGACACCGTCCTCGTACCTTTAAATGGTCATAAAAGAACTGTAGGCCAAATGGAGAAAGTGTCTTATATGTAATTAAAATAAAACCTAAAATTGCCTAAACAGATTTGATTTGAACCCCAGCCGGACGGATTAGCTGAGCACGGCTGACCTATTAAAACGATCGATTGTTTCCTATTGTCGCAGTGGTAACCGTGGTTCTAGTAAAAAAGAAATTATTGGAAATGCAAGATAATTTTAAATACAAAACTTTCTATTAAATTTTAATTTGAATTCTTTTATTTATATATCATTATTGATATAATATACAGGTAGTCCGTCGTTTTCACCGAACAAGTCTTCCATATTTACATGAAGTATAAAGTGATTAAGATATTAATGATCGTTATGATATTGAAATTACATCATTTTTTTCAGTTAGGAAATTGAGCTCAATTATTACGCTTGACATTCTATAGCAAAACCAAAAACAAGCAATGTTTTTTTAAATGCAATTATTTAAATGCAATAACTTTAATCTCACATTCCCTATACAAATCTTAATATTTTTTAACACGGATATAAAATTATTACTCTAATTATTTAAATTATAAAAAATATCATATCAAATTATATACCACCATTGATTTGAGGCGCTTCACAACTTCAATAGTTTTTCCATTATCAATATCTACATAATGAAGATTAAGACTGATGCTATTAAAACTGCATGTGAAAGTTTTATTCTATGAGGAAATTGATGTAAATTGTTCAATACACGACGGCTTATGCTCAGCTAAGAATACGTAACTATATTAAAAAATAATTCATTTTCCTTCTTTAATGTGATATTTATTTTTGTGTTTTATATATTCAATTGCTGAGTTAAAACCAGATAATTGATGAAGCTATCTGTCTGTTATATAAACATAACAACAGTATATCAAAGGTAATTGAATTGAGAGGTCAAACTAACACGGTGATAACTTGTTTTGTATGTTTTAAATACTCTATTGATAGTGTATTTTTCTAGGTACTAATTAATTTTATGACATGTGTCGTTTGAATTTTGTTTATATATTTTTTTGTGACGTTAGATTTGTTTTGTTCTTCTTATTTGACACATTTTATTCTAAGATAGGTAGTGATGGAAAATTTTATTAAAATTCATTTGGGATTGGAATGTTTGTATGTTATGCGTGTGTGGAATGTCGGTTCTATTCTCGTAATACTAAAATGTGATCTATTACAGGTGGTGATTTGCGGCGCGGTGCCATCGATTCGATCGGTTCGCCTCTACAGCCAGTGCTCGCACATGTATGTGAACGTGTTCCAAAACGGCACTGTTATGGCCCTCTCCGATGGAAACGATCAACGTAAGTTCATTAAAACATCGATACATTCATAATACATCGTTCATCTATCGATATAAATGTAAATTAATCTATGTAAAGTCAGCTGAAAGTTTATTTGTTTTCATTTTCAATGAGAAACATGATGTAAAGGGATGAATAGTTTGAAAACAATTCAACTCCATCGGAATTCTTGACTTGCGTCATTATAACGTCACAATTTTTTATCTCCGCCATGCCAGAACATTTTCAATGATCGTTAGAATATTTTATGCTACTTAATAATTCTATTTGAATAAAAATATTATTCTGTATACGTTCATTTATTTCTTTAAACGATCAAAACTTTATTACTGACATTGAACTCGTCAGGTTTGACTGTTAAATATTAATTTGTAATGAGGATTGCTTAAAGAAAATAAGCAAAAGAATAACGTAGGCATGCCTTTGTAAATGCATACTGGGCTGGCTGTAATCATGGCGGGAGCTAGACGTGAGAAACTATAGGAATATGTCAATACTTAAAGGGTCATTGGCCAGGTACAGCAACAGGTAAAGTCCGCGCTGCTATATAGTAACGGTTATTATTGTTGAGCTTTCAAAGAATGTCACAAAAATATTGCTCAAGATCGATACCGATTTCGACTTTTGAAGTTGCATTTTATTATATTGAAATTATTTGCAATTTATGCTGCATCAATTGGACATAAAAGTTTAGGACGCATTATTTTGTATCACAATAATATTGTCAATATTAGAAATATTTTTACATACATACATTACATATTTCTGCAGAGATTTTACATTTAATAGAGAATTAATTGTTTGTTTAATTAGAAGAATCTTAAATAATTTTAAACAATTTTATTCTGGTTTATCAAGCCAGGTCACAATTAAGAATGTTTTGCAGTATTGAATTCAATGAAACTTTAAAATTGCATTGCATTATAAAAGAAGATGTTTGAGAAAAAATGTTGACAAAATTGTTTTAGTACGCAATAAATATATTCCTGTCATTACTCAATATTTGATGTAAATATACGCAACATTTTAGCATAGCCTACTCTCTAAATAAAAAGTACTTTCACCTTTGCTTATTTCGTGATCGCTTTGTGGTTTGCTCAAGAATTATCGCGAGTTCTTTTACTTGCACCAGGCGGTAGACGCGAGGGACCTTTTTATTTGAAAATAAATAAAGGAATTTGCCTTTGTCCCTTTCGTTGTAATCCTAAAAGCAAGACATGGAATGTTTGCGTTTGTGCCGTGTAATTGTAAAGTAAAGTTATAAACATCATCGTTTATTTACTATAGCGAATTTACTTTCGAAAAATGTTACGAGGTCGTTACTTAGATAAGATATACCTAGATATGATAAAATTTTGATTTTTTTTCGTATAAAAATTAATCTAATGTTGCTGTATATAATAATTATATCATACTGATGACCTGACCCAGTAGAGGCTTTACATTCCATAGCATGCATTATAGGTGATTGCACATTGTTTGTTACATCAACTGAATTTGAACTGTTAGCTGATACAATTGATTCGATCAGCAAATTACTGAAGTATTGATTTACTTTATTATAAACAACAAATATGATGCTTCTTGTTTTCAATTATATTAAGACTTTATTCACGGAACGTCTGAAGTGATTTCATAATTTACAAAATGTACTTTTTCTAGTATTTCTATACAGATGATCATGTATAATAGTTTATTTTAATATATCATTCATAGAAACATTGATTTTATTTCATCGAAAAAAGAATAAAAGCATTAAATATTCATAATAACACTGCGTGAATTTGATTTACACTATGGTTAATAATCGCGTGAGAATAACTATAATTGCTATAAAAATAATCACTTAAATCAAGTACGTGTTAGTAGAAAGGCAATAAAAGAAACTACGGACAATATAAAATTTAACGATATAATATCAAATCGCCAAAATTATATGAACTCCTATCAACGTACTGCGTTTATGATATTATTAATAATCGAAAGGTCTTATTAATATGGTCGGTAACCATCGCCAGACGCATTGCGCCACCTCCCACCGAATATCGCGTAATATATGTGACGCTTTTTAATTAAAATTAGATTCGAATGCTCTGATAAAGATATTCAATAACTCATACAGAGCTAGAAAGAACTCAACAGTACAAGCTTTTAATGTACTAGCTGGAGGGCATATTAATAATATGATCATTAATGTTCAGTTTTAAAACAATAACAATTTACCTTGCGGCACTATTAGATTTTTAATTTTAAAGGTATATTTACTTTCTTCAATATACATTTAGAATTGTATAAATTAATAATAGTTTTTTTTTAATGTTCTTATATAGAACTAGTAGTTCTATAAATGGCATAAAATATAATGAATTGGTTTAAGTTAATATTACAACCTTTTCTAACCACTTAATCAAAACCACCCAAAGAGGGTTTTATAAAAAATTTCGAGATGAAAATAAAAAATAATATTTTGGTCTTTAGCGCTTCCTACAGATTTTTTTGCTTAAATTCTACGAAATTGGATTGTCGGCTCGCAAATTATATGAAATCAATCGACGGAGGCGGTGAGGCGCCTTCCCAAATTAAGTTATTAAATTTAAAAATGTTTATGATAAAAGGCCCATAATGCTCCGTTCGCAAAAAATATCGAACCACACGCACGCATACCATTAATGTCCTTAATCTAATAAGAAATACAATTTATGAAAAGAGCAACAAAATGGGGTCAGGATTCCACGAAACTGATTTGTTAGTCTCAGGTAGGTATTAAAAGAAATCTTTCCTAATTGTATGTGGTTTGTTTGATTGTGGATAAAAAATGTTTGTAATTATGAAAACGTTTATTGTGTGACTTGTTTTTGACGTTCTGTTATGTAATTGTTACACGAAAGCCGCTTTTCAGCGTTTTATAGTATACTTTCTTAATTCATGCTGTTTTATATGTAATTATAAAGTTATTTTCAAGTTATTAACATACTGAAGGTGTACATAAAATATGCCTAATTACCATGTGCTAATTTCGTAAACTTTCTCATATGCTATTCTAGGATTTCTATAGTGATACAGATATATAGTTTCTTTCTTTCAACGTATAGTATGATAGACAATAAAATTATGAAACCTTTGTAATAAATACGTATGTGTAACGCTTTAAAAATTCTTATCAACATTATAACTTTATAGTAACATCTGTTAGTAAAAAAATACACGATGGGTGGTCTTTAATGCTGTTTGATATCGTATGAAAAATATTAACAATGTTTTGTAAACATATTGCATTGTAATAAACTAAGAAATGAGGTTGTTTAAAAAGTACTGTGATATTTTTAAGCTTTTGTAAACCATTGGGTTCTTTGAATCGATATTATAAACCTTTTGTTTAATTATTATGTTCTGAATATTTAAAATTTTATTTCATTTATTCTGGGAGACTGTCTAATTACTCTGTTGAAATAAATATGTTTTCCTATATGTAATATTTTAAAATAAAATAAACGCTCAAATAACAAAGTAGATAATCTGGTTTTACATGTATTTAAACTGGTGATAAATTATCATTAATTATACAACGCGTACACAATTTTTATTGGATTTTAAAAATCTTTATTAGGATTTCTTGTTGATATAAAACTGTCTCAATTATCAACGTGTCGAGATACATAGCAACAATCTAGAATTTATCGATCGTGATGTCCAGACTTATCAGAATATGTCTGACCCGGTTTCAAACTTGTGACAATACTAACTCAATCATATCACACGATAAGATTTTCCGTGTAATTCCTCTGGTTATCAACAATAAAAAATGTTATGCCGTTGTTTATCCTCAAAATTCTATTGGACATTGTTGTGACATAGTTTGGGATAGAAGATATTCACCTACTCTCTTTAAGTCTTCCGATATTATGAGATTAAAGTGATTCATTGCTTCCTCAATTTATCAGTAGGGTGACAAAGATTTTATCAAATTCTTCACCGATGCTTCAAGTATGTTAAATACTATTTCATAAAATGAAGACTGTCTCATCTTATATGATTGTATACAAATAGTACATGTTAATTATAATTATAAACTTCATACAGCCGTCTCAGTGCAGTTAAAAATGTAATTTTATAAGGCATTCCGTGAATTAATTATACGGAATAATTTCACAGATTCGCAAGATGACCTTTAGTCTTCCAATATTATGGAATATATTTGCATGTAGTAATAAGTTTGGCTATCAAAACACTGTTTTTTAGTGTCATTGCCACCGTCGCATGCATGACATGAGAAAAGACACATGACTGTTATGTTATGACAGTTCCATATGATAACAAATACAAAATATTTTGATAACTATAATAGTGGGAATCAAATAAATGGCTTTCATATGTATATAAAATATTTCAGTGATGATTTTGTTACATAATATAAATCTTGTTTTTCATTTTGTATTAGAATTGGTATCCTAATGTGTCTTTAAAGTAAATAAATAGAATTTTATAACCATATTAGTAATAATAGTAACCAAAAAAGGGATTATTTTGAATACATTATTCAATAACATGTATCAATAAAAAGTGACAGCCAACTTTCTCTTCAGTTGTTTTTCTCGATATATTAAAGTCGAAATTTTAAAGAAAACAAAAAATACTTGAAAAAACGTCAATTTCGTCTCTCCGACCCCAATTGAAGTTTGAATTCAAGTAGCTCGTCTTGAGTTTTATAATTATACTCAAAAATTTTGACTATACTTTTGTTACATAACATGATCCTTTTCTTACATATTTCGATTCATTAACTCAATTTTATAGCATTGATGTCGATTATAAAAGATAAACATTAAAGGAGGTCCGTATTGGACACGTTATGTTTAGGAGATATAAATCAAAGGGAGTACATATAAAAACGGTTCCCTTTCTAACGAATGCGTGTACGCGATTAATTATCTCACTATTATTCTACTGAGAAACTTACATATTTGAAAGATGGTCTGCTAGCGATAAATGATTGGGACGTGCTCTTAGGTAATAGTCATAGAATTTATAAGAGTATATTATAATTTAAATATTTTATAGATGATGACAATATTTAATAATACTTTGATCTTAGTCGACTATTTGTTTTCACTATAGTCAAGTTACTGTTTCAATTGCAACATCAGTTTTAAGATTAGTTAGTTCTCTTTAAAATTTCTGTTTAGAAATATCCAAGGACGATGTTCGTCAAAAATATGGGACAGTTATAATACCTTAAAAAATATATATTTTAAAATAATCGATTATTTCTTAACTCCTCTTTTTTCATATGAACAGATATTGATACATTTTTATATATTTTTTTACATTTATTACGTCATAATATTTGAAAAAAAATACCATTAAGATCATGTCATTTAAGAAAGATTTGAGTTGAAATGTTCGCTTTGATGTAGTTTATTATTATTTCGGATTAAGATACTGGAAGCTGCAATTAAAGTATACAGATAAGGTTTGTCAGGTGTTTATTGACATAACAAGCAACATTTAACATTAAAGAGTACATTACGTACATTTTATATTAAAGAGTTATAAGAAATGTATGAGCAATTTGAGAATTATGAATCGCTTTGTCATCTGTATTATAATAGAATAAGTATTCTTTCTTTTAAAATTTGTAGGTCATTTTATTTTGTTAATATAAAATAATTCCGTTGAAGTTGTTTTGAAGTTGTTATTACGGTAAAATCCTAGACAAGACAAGAGAGTTAGGAATTCACTTCAATACCTACCGCATACGGATAAGCGAATAATCTTTGACTTGTAGTAGTCCTTAAGCTAAATGTTTGTCAAGCCTTAACTGAGATATCGGCTGACGCATTCACTTCGCTTAGTTTACACATTTAATGGAAATACTTTGGAACGCTTGAATAGATGTAGCGAATTTAAGATTCATACTGTTTTTTAAAAACGAAATTACATTTGGAAGTCATAGTTTTGTAAAGAATACAATAATAGATAAAAAAAAGTATATAGAAAATTTTCATTTTATTCTACTATGATTTTAAATAAAACTCTGATTCTTTTTCTTCTAGTTACTTTTATTTCAACATATAAACAATATGTCTGTTACTATATATGTTAATATATGACGTTGTTCGTCAGTTTATATTTAATATTATTAATAGAACCAAAGGGAAATCACCGATTTCAATATCGTCCGGAAATCGCACATTTATTATTTTATTAATCGCTTAATATTATCAATAAAAATTGATAAAAAATTTCCAAAATCTAGATTAAGGACTTTCGATTTAAATAATTTACAGAATATTTATTATATTATATTTTTTATTACTTAAAAATTAAATGTTTAATTTAACTTAGTCATGTTCAGTATATTGTTTTATTAATTGTTAATTTTTTTATCAGTTCTTATCAAATAAGTTCTGTTATCCATTGTGTGACTTGGAAAATTTGCCTAATTCTTGACACTACTAAATGTCGGGGTCATCTTGTTATCAGCGAAATGAGATAAAATAATTACGCAAAACGACCCGAAAACACTTATTCAATTTACAAGGTCTTGTAGATATTCATTATGAAGTGATAATATAATTGATTCCTTGAAAATTACTTTTTTGCGTTTCAGTTAAAAATGTATACATAATATTTATTTCTTTAAAATACAAGTGACTCGTAGCTTCTATTTTAAGAGAATTCGGAATAAATACCAATTAATTTATAAGTGTGTGTAGGTTTGTTTTGGTTTTTGTCTTACAAGCTAATACTATATATTTTTTATTCAGACTAACACACATAAATTTATATGTATATTGTCTTTAAATTTCAATAAAAATATGCTTGTATCAACTGAAAATAATTAAATACAAAATGCAGGTTACAAATAAGATTACATCGATGGAATTATCAGAGACGATAGTGGGTCGTTGGCCGCTGACAAATAAAAAATGGCGACTAGTTGTTACAAATACGATTTTAGATGATTATATTTATTCCTGCACTCACTGTTTAACTTAAATATGAACAAATAAAATAATTACAGTAATTTTTATTCAGATATCTAATAAAAAAAGATATACTGTATAACCAGATTCATAAATATTATTCAAAATATTTTAAAAATTCGCGTGTTTACGTTCGAAACTATAAATTATTATAAATTGGTATGATAGCATGAAAAAATAATAATATTTAAAAATAAAAAATATAAAATGATTATGCATAAATACACACAACAAAGAAAATAAGTGTTTTTTTTATGTTAATAAACATTTATTTTAGCTACAAATTAATTGTTTGAGTGCCTCGTGTGTTCTAATGGTAGTTGTGATTTACAAGTAGCATTTGATGAGTCTTTGACTGATAAAACATAGAAATAGAACACGACAAATCACGTTCAAACTCGTATCAAATTAGGAATGCGGCGCTAGGAAGAAAATAGTGCGTGGGTTTACAATGGAAGAGAAAATCAGCTATTTCCATAACACCCTTTACAAAATAAACAATAGATACAAACTAACTGTCACCGAATAAAGCAACAATATGAAAATTATTTATAAAATAATTTTTTACAGGTGTTTCTCAATTCGAACGTGACTATACAGAAGTAGATTAAAGGCAGGAAGTATTAAAATATTTTTTAACACATGAATATAAGAATCCTTAATTGTTAAAAATTAATGAATTCAATTTATTTTTATACGATTCAACGCTGAAAAAGTATGAGTGAAATTCCATTGCACCTGTATTGTTAGTCGTGTGTAATATTTTGTTTGGTTTCGTTACCAAATATGAAAGTATTGAAAATTCCTACTCCGAGTTAAGTTTTACTTCCTCGATTTAATAGTGAAAATACATGACGTCGGTACGATCAAAGTGAAATGTTTACATTGTAAAGTAGAGATTACGTTGTCTTTTCAAAAATTAGCCTGTCTATGGAGGTTGGGCAATGTTTACGTTTTTCTTGTTACGAAAGAAATATGGCCCATTGGCGTAACGGGTACTCTTTGAGGGCCTTCGAATGAGTATTTGTGTCGGAGGTTCCGTGAGATTCACGGTTGAGTATTAACTGTCCGACGACAATTGTGTTTTGAATGAACGGAACATTACTTTTTATGGCACATATTAAATGTCGAAAGTATATAATTTTAAACAAGTATTAGGATCTATACTTCTATAGCATATGATAGGTCATAACTCATGTATTGGCTGTTTGAAATTTGATATATTTAACATTATTTCATATAAAATATTATAGTTTATTTAATTTTATACTCAAAGGAAGGAAAACGAGGCCGATATGAAGCGAGGAAACCGTACTAGGTTGTCGGGATTCTAAATATTGATTATTTTAACTTGTCCAAACATTAATATAATACTATCAAACAGTTGAACCTTATAGAATTTATCAACAAAGAAACGAATACAGCTCGACAGTGAACTAGTCAAGTGTAACGTTAAATAAATGATACCTAATTATACATTATACAGGTGTTTGGTTGCTTACGTATTTAGTTATTTAATATTATGATAGCGGAGTGTTTCAAACTTATGAAGGCATTTCAAACAAATGCTGTGAGACAAAATTCACTCGGATTAAACAATAAACACCGGGTAACGTCATATCATAAGACAAACACATTTTATGAGTAAAATAAAAACAGTATTTTTGAGATAAATGAATCCGTGACTTTGAATTTAAAATTTATAATATACTTGAATATTTAATATGAAAAATTTTAGTAATATTACTCCTTTAAAGCTTTTGCATTAAGAAAATAGATATTTGGATAGCTTCTTCAGTAATTCTTTCTTTACACAGCAAAATTGTCGAAAGCGAAAGATAACTAAATGTGAAATACCATTAGCTGTAATCCGTTATCACTTTCACGCACTCACGGGGACTATCGAAATTATAACAAATTTATGTTCTTGAATCACCGGCTCCGAGCATTTTATTTCTTTTAATGTTAATTGAAATGACATGGTCGGTGTCACGGGCGGTCGGCTGTATTTTTTTCTTATTTTTATTAATACATTTTATTAGCGTCCCATCGCGTCCGGCTATCGTATCCTATACAAGAACTTTCTTTATGTTATACAATTGAAAAACGAGGTAGGCTTACATGTCATCGATTCTAGTGACAAGAGAAATTTGTGGTGCACGTCATAACAATATTTTTTATTGATCACCAATGACATCAAGTTCTTATCAAGAAAGCAAGAGTTTGTTGTATTTGATTAATACCTTTTGTTATGTTATTGTTTATAAATAATAACTATTTATTTAGATATTTTTTGTATAAAAACATGCTAATAACCTAGAATATATTCTTTAACTTCAGTTACGAGTACTCCTTAATTACGATTCATGTAGGTATGTAACCCAATCGTAAAACTTGTAGTCAAAGCAATATATTAATATTTATCGACGGTTTATTATTGTAACTTGTGTTCAAATATCGTCAAAGATTAGTTTATCGCACCCGAGGCTTTCTTAAATCTCTGCATATTAGTAATTGAATTCATTATGTTAACCTGAGCGGCGTCTTGGTAGTATAACTTATGGTCATGTTTCAGTCATAGCCGTTACTAGAAGCTATTAAAAATTCCTCAGATATAAGTGAAGTACAGTTAATTTTGTGTATTAATTATATGAATTAACAACATCTATCAACGGTTGTCAATATTTAATAAAATTATAATGGAATGTCTAACGTCACTTGTGAATATTCACATTGCAATCGTAAGGAGAAGTTTAACTGTTATTCGCTCATAAAATTGTGGAGATAAAGAAGGAATTTAGTTTTATATTGCTATAATTTTTATACAAGTTTTGATCCACCTGAAATATAAACAACATTAATGTTTATGAGAACTGATAAACATTAAAAATTAAGAAATACATATATATGATGTTTCCGATGAAAAAGATAAAGACGTTTATATTATGAGTCTGTTGAAGCAAAAAGCAAAGGACAAAAATGTATATGGTACATATTTTTGTTACAGCGAATCTCACCATCAGCACACGCGGAGTGAGTCTAGATCTGCTCATCCACTCGCCTGTGCAGGACATGTACCTGTGCTTCAACCGCTCGCGTTTGGTCGGCAGGAGATTGGTAAAATACTTTTCACTATAACTATATTGTTTGTAATATAAGAGAAATGAGTGATATTAGTGTTTGATAATAATTTTGTGATCATATATTTACATTTGTTTATATTTTCAACAGACGAGATTCCAAGCCGAAAGACAACCGACTTGTCTCTTCAAAGAGGAATTTGTGGACGGCTACAACAGATATCATTTGGTGAAGAACAAGGATCGATACATAGGCTTCAACAGAAAGGGAATACAAATGAGACGCGGGAAGAGTCACATTCCCGATCGACAGCACAAGTGTTTCTCGTTTATAAAGCAAGCCCACGACTTCGACATCAACAGACACAACACTATGATAGCCGGCGATCCTCCCAAGTGGCGCCCGCAGCGTAGACAACGGCCACCGTCGCAGAACTCCATAAAAACGCCCTGCCACCTCCGCCACAATCATGGCAGGCATCAGAGGCGGAGGAACTGCGAGGGCACGTAGACAACTTGCCTCATCATTTGCAGCTCATTTATGCTTCAACGCTTTGCGCGTTCCGTTGCCAGCTGTCGATGGATTTTATGAGTGGAGAGAGTATTAGTCAACTACCGCAGTATTATTACAGTGACGAGGACTGGATAGCGTTAAGTTAGCACTCAGCCGCGTTGGTCGCGGCGTTTTTAACGTCGCATGAAGCTGAAGCGAGTGAGAGCAAACATTTGAATGGGGAGAAAAGGCCGAACTGGGACGTTGGAGCTGTGAAATTCCTTAAGGTCGTGTAACATCGTGGCGCGCGTTTGCTCTTGTGCCTGTTCGGACTCGTGCTCTATAATGAAAAAGGTTCTCTATGGAAAGAGCAAATAGTAGTCTCGCTAGTCACGAATCTTCCGACAGACCACCGCTGAACTTGATGATTATACTTAAAGTACGAGCGAAGCGTCGTCACAACTAACATATACATATGTAAGGAATCCTCAGTTCCTTGCAACGAACCTCTTTGACTACGTTTAATTTACGAATGCCGCCGCTCCCGCCATTATGTAGTTGCAGCGTCTTCACGTCAATTCTCAGTGTATTATAATTTAATGCTTTATTGTTTATTTAGTATGGATCCAGTTATCTGCTTGTAAATATTATAAACGTGTCTACTTATTTATCGAAAACGTTAATCAAAAGATTTCTAAGCGTAGATGTTAGTGTAAAGTTGTATTAAATTTATTTTTTTGTAATTAATAATGTTTATTTAATCCGACCAACTGCTCTCTTGTGATTAGCCACAGTTGTTTATCTAGGTACATATATCTAGATATTTTCTGCCGCCAAAAACATCTTTCTTAACGTTTTCTGTTTTAATCTTTGTTTGAATTGATTTAAATGTATGATTTGAGAGTTTTGTATATATTATTTTAAGTGTTTGTATGAGTGATAGGTTTCGAATCTCTTCTCGTCCTAAATATGATATTGTATTTTTTTGGTCAACTTTATATTTTCATTGAAGACTAATACATAACCAAATAAATATCTTCATTGCTGTCAGTACACTAAATAATTTAAATAAAATATCATATGCACGATAAAGGACATTAATTAATATTTAATATATTAGTAAGATCTGTGCCATAGTGTGGTGGCAATGTATGGATTTGTGTTCGCATTGTATTTAGTGTGTTAAGTTTGTATGTAAACTACGAGTAGATAATTATTTAAATTAAGAAGAATAACTGACTTAATAAATAGTGTTATGCCCAGTGTCTATTTAAATACCGTATGCTATCAATGTTGAACTTGGTGTGATCGTCGCTTTAATGACAATACTTGTAAAATACATTCCACTTAATGAAATGTAAAAAAATATTTAACAATATATGCGCTTAAATAAACAATAAGTTGTTATACTTACGACGCACTTTATGTAATGCCGTTATGTTTACAATATTCAAACGCTGAAGACGAAATCGTATAATTGCTAAGAAAAATTACGATATTAAATCATATTTAACTCGAATTATCTTTTTGTTTATATCCTTGTGCCAGTTAGTAGAGCAACAAACGACAAACAACAATGCTTATTGTTTTTCAAATTTTATCATACCAAAAGATTCTTGGTGACGAAAATTTATACCTTACATATTCATTTGACCGCATTTTATGCCATGTTGTTTGTTAAGATTAGGCAAATGCTTGGATTTTTAGTGTCAGATTACGATAATAAATTTTGTTATTGACGTAACTTTGGAAAATCAGTCCCGATGACATTTATTACACATGACTTCATAATACAGAACATATCACGAACTACTTTAGTATTGCTATAAAATACAATCGATACATACATAATAACTTCATATAAATTCATATTATGTTCATTTATAATTATTCTCCAAATTAACTTTTAAATAAGATTGCATGATCAGATCTGTGAGGGAAATGTAAGGTAACACGGTCTTTTCAATCGATCAATTGTATATCAATTGATAAATTCTTCGATATTTTTTGTAAATTTATTGTCACAATCAAGATATCACATATGTGAATGAGTCTAAATAATTTTTGTTTTGTGTTAGTTCAACTATGAATCTATCTCTTCTAGAAGAATTATGCTTCTGTATAATGTATAAGTTAAATGAAGAAACCTGAAAAAATACACTTTTTTCATATACTGCAATAATTCATTAAATGTAACAGAAAAATATACAGCGCTTTCAGTTATACACGGGTTCAGATATTCAATATACACGGGTCAGATTTTGAATTAGAAGAGGTATATCGGTATTATAATTTTGTATTTATTCTACATATATTAAAAAGTTTGCTTTGAATATTATCGTTCAGAACTTGGAGTCTTTATGAATGTCAGTCCAAGTCCAAGCACCAAATCCTCTGTAGATTTGAAAAACATTACTAAGTGTAAATATTGGAATAAATGTATGCACAAAATATACACGATAAAACATTTTATAAGACCTGTTTTAAATAAAAGTACCAAATACTTCACATAATAAAAAATTATTGAATACGAGATGGAATATATAATATAAAAAAAATAAAACAATAGTAAGTTAATGTCGGATAAACAAAGATTGATAAAATTCATCTCAATAGATTGCGGCTGTTATTCAATTTAACAAGGTTTTTTTCCTCTGTTATATTCAAAATTCTAATTTAAATTCTGTTATTCGGGAGTGTTTATTTGTCCTACATTTCCGATTTCTTACAACTTTTATTCTTATTCTCTTTAAATGTTATTTTAATACACCTATTATTTCGTATATATTAGGTATATATTTATCGTGTATACTACCTATTACTATGTTTTATATTTTATTATTATTTTAACGAACACAAAAGACACAGTCGAAATATTTTCCACAAATTCATTGTTCACTTCGTAACGTCATCAATTTGTTATCGTTTCAAGTCACAGTTTTGTCACGCATTTTTCCTATTGTCTTTTTTTAAATAAAAAATGCTTCTTAAGATAGACGACATTGAATGGTGATGAAAATTTTACATGTATAATATACGATGAAAAAATATTTAATATCCCTTTTAAATTATTTACAAAAATTGTAATATCCTATTAAACAAAGCAATCGAAATCATATTTTTGGAGTCTTATAGACCCGTTCTTACATATGTTTTAATTCTTCTTTAAAGGTACATTATTTAATGTTAATTATTTGAGTCACACAAAACTGTAGAATGTTTATAAGTAATAATAATTGTATTTGCTGACAAAACTTATGTCCTTGCTAACCAGATAGCGGTATACAGGTGTATTTGTAGACGTACAATAAAAAGCTATATATGATTTGCTCTTCTTGCGAGATCACTATCTCCAGTCGTCCGACGAAACTATTCCAATAGCAATTAAATTATAATAAAAAATATCATATATATTTTAATATTTTATTTAATTTTTTTAAACAAATATCCTTATTATTTTATACCGCTGGTTGATACGACGTACTAAAAGTTGTATTTTAAGATCTGAAAACAGGTATGTTCTTCCTGTTACCTAAAAGAATGTTAATCGAAGCATGATGGAACTAGTTAAGATCTTCTAACTGTTAGTTCAAATACAAGCCGGTCTTTTACATTTATGAATCAACATGCATCCCATTTGAAACATACACTGACCAAGGGTCAAGATATAAGGAGGTTTTATTTTATATATTTCAGTCAACATAAAAGTATGTTAAGCAATGTAAGTAGTTTTTTTTATAATTAAATGAAATACGCTGACAAAATTATGTATGTATTATTGTACAAGATCGGTGCTAATTTGAATATATTTTTTAATAAACCTAAATATATACTATATTTTATGCCTATGACCACAATATTACGTATTTTCAGATACTAATATGAAAATACTATTTTTATGTATTCTTACCAAATTCTGCTATTATTTGCGTGAATAAATATTAACATATAAGTATGACAGCCAATAATCATATAACCATGACATCTACAATACTCATCTATCGTTTCACAATTTTCCAAATTCCGATATGAAGTTTGTCTCGTCAAACACCCTCAGCCATTCAACCCTTCCACTCGAGCCTGACAAAAAATACTTCACACTTGGTAAATATTGGCGTCCACTGTGGAAAAGCGTGGAACAAAACACAGGCGAAAGCGTTTGAATTGAATCTAAAATTTAGCTTATACCAAAAAATATTTTGGAACTAATTTAATCCATTCTGGATGTTCCTGTTTTGAGTTCAAAAAGATTGATTGAGATTATATAATGATTAAGGTCATAACAGTGTTTTTGAAATTATTTTCATCTAAATCTCCGCTATATTCAGCGTATTATACCAAAAAAATGTAATGTATTATGTTGGCCCTTCGTCCTTTTAACGCCACTAGTATATTTGAAGATGTCGGGTATTACAAGTCCATTAGAAGCGCTTACAGATATATTATGAACTCGCTTCGTGACTTAAGAATCGTTCGAAGAGACAAATGTTTTATTTTTTTCATTTTATAAATATTTACATAACTTCAAGAAGACGTCATCCCAATTCTTAGCAAAATGAAGAAATTTCTTAATATAAAAATGAAATCAGTTGTGTTCAATCGTATCTCGATTCGTAATTAAATCGATTACAGTATCACAGCCATTGTATGTATGTATTATATATGAAACTATAACTTTATACGCATAAAATCTATTTGTCAATAAATGCGACAGCAAATCTTTGTAGCGCCGTTGTTCCGTAATATTTTTATTTATCTATCCCCATTACATTTCGGACAAAAGCCGTCTAGTGTTTGGTCTTAGCTGACAAATAGCTCGTTTGGTGCTCGGTTCCCACGGCGCATCGGTTTGCCGAGCCCTTCTGTTTGCATGTCTAAATGAAAGATAGTCAATTAGATTATAATAGCTTCACGAGAGTTCATTAAATGGTCCTACAATCACGACATTGATTGCTAATTAGTTTAAGATCGATTTCACGATCAAGGGTTAAAATTTTATTTGGCACTTGTTTCTTTGT